GCATTAGAGGCATGCCTTACCACTCACAGTATGGGAAATATCATGTTATCATGCTTACCTAATACTGGAGCATGTAAGACCTGGATGAGTCTACAGATAGTCTGAAAACGGCGAATGGCACTATCCCGCGAGATAGGGGCGTGGTAGAACTTCAGTTAATAATGAAGAAAAACGTTAACCTGGGGTTGTGCTTTGTCCCTCGAAATCTTAAACCCAATGAATACAAGAGATAATTCTCCTCTGGATAGGCTTGACGAATCCCGAGATGCCCTGTCAGGTAATTGGGCTTTCTAGACGCTGGATTTAGTCTCCGGATATTGCCAGGCATTAATAAGGCCCACCGACCGGGAGTTCCCTCCGGACCACAGGAAGTAGAAACCGTGCCCTTTGACTTGGCTTGCTTAGTGCCTTCCATACACATCACCAATACATCTGAACCAAGCATCACACATAATCTTCGTGGCGGATGCGACAGCTTATTTATCGTTTCACGTCTCACTCGTCAATACACCAGACTCCTTTCGCTCTGACTTGTGGCCGCGCAATGCAAATACCAGCATACTCTCTGTACCCTAGCGGCAGTTTTCTTCTCATATTAGTCCATACTTAATGTCAGTGTTAGTCTCCCAGAGTCTGTTTCGAAACTTGCTGAAGGTGAATGAGTTAAGGTAGTGCTGTAGTACCAGCGCAAAAGTCTACTGTAAATTAAGATTAAATAAGACGGACTTAATAAAACGAATATGACCAACGTAAACAAACTTACTCTATTGAAACTGATTACTCCCGATGACTCCAGATTTATGACTCTCAACGACCCCTAGATTGCACAGCCTAATGGCCTTCCAAAACTACACAAAGCGAGTGCACTATTAAGGATCATAGTACCACTCATTGGATCACCAACCTACAACCTTGCCAGAAGTTTATGCAGGCACCTAAAGAACCTCGCCAATGGATCACATTATAGTACTAGGAAACCTCAGGCATTCTCTGAGCCGATTCTATCGCTTGACGTGGTTGCCCTGTTTTCCTCAACATCATATGATCTGGCAACTGGGAGTGTTGCTCGATGCCTGCAAGGTAATCAAATCGATATTTCGATGCAACACGTTTCAGAAATGCTAAGACTCTCTTTCAGGAATTAATGACAATTCGATGGAAAGTTTTAAGAGCAGATTAAGTGCACCCAAATGGGTTCGCCAATATCGGGTCTGCTCGCGGAATTGGTACTGCAACAACTATAAGAGTAGTTCGTGCAAACTTCTAGGCCAAACATGGGGCTCGTTAACGTACAGCGAGGTTATGTGTGGGTCAAACACAGTGAAAGGATGATATATTTATTATCATAAAGACCTGCGAAGTCGAGCAGTTGCATCAAAAGCTAAATAACATTCTCCCCTCTATCCAGTTTACTTGAGAACATGAAACTGGAAGTATCCTTCCGTTCCTAGACGTGAGGATCAAAAGCCACGTGATGGCAACCTCACAACGAACGTCCATCTAAAAGGCTCTAATGCCGACATAATACTCAACTACGAAAGTATCCATCAATCATCTCATAAAAGAAGCCGTGTCGCACATTTTCCATCGGGCCTTTCGTTAGTGCAATAGCGACGACCTTCTTCAAAAATAACATGCTTACTTGTATCGGTTATTCCAGTTCAACTGATACCCGGTCAGCTTTATGAAAAGCTGTTGGATGATAGAAGTGCCTACATCCCTCGGGAAGATGACGCGATTAAGAAGCTGTTATGAAAAGCTGTTGGATGATAGAAGTGCCTACATCCCTCGGAAAGATGACGCGATTAAGACGCTCGAAAGTGGCATCAACAAGGACCTGGTAAGTCTTCGGAAGGCAAAGGCAATAAGACAGACTGAAAAAAAATGAAACCAATGGACGCAGCGCTCGCAACATTCTATGGTCTCTGCAAGGTCCACAAACCAGGAACCCCCCCCCACTATGATCGATCGTTTCCCTCATTATAGTGCGGAAAGAAATGCGCCGAGGGTCGACGTCACTCTCTCCTCCACCGCTAGCAACAGACAACCACCTACCTGTCGGCCGCCTGAGGTGTACATGAAGTATATAGGTGCCATGACGTACGATGGAAGCAGTCATTTGCCTGTATTGCAGTGAAATCATTCCCCTGCTTATGCCATGAGATCCATTCGCATGGGCGTTAAGAGGAATGGGAGCGAAATTCCGACGGCATAATGGGATTTACAGTCAATTGCCTATCATATGAAAATCTTTGATCCACAAAATCAGCCCAGGCTGTGCCCTCCAAATTCTT